AAAGTTGTAGCTGAGAAAATTTTCTTTAATAATGGCTATCAAACTGTTTCGCAGCTCAATATGAAAAAAGACTAGAAGGCAATGAACAAAAAGTTGAGATTTCCCATAATAATTTACATGTAAACTTCAAATGTCTTGTGCGAAGTCTGTTTCTAACCAAATGAGTTGTAACTTTGGGAGGCTAATCAGGACCCGATTTGAAACCATTTAAGCACTGTGGAGCGAAAAAGTCAAATTTTGCATCAGTCTAATAAGGCATCTTAGAGATGATTATTTAGAATTTTGAAAGCTCGAAAATATGAGGTATTCAAAAAGATACAAGTCTCTCACAAAAATTTTCTCCGAAATTCGAGTGCGGGCAGGCAATAATAATTTTGATTATTTAAAAAAAAAACGGTATAAATCGGTATAAAATTTTAAAAATCGGCATTCTGAGGAACCTTATCTGTATATCGGTATCTAGTTTGGAAATCGGTATAAATATTGATAAATCGGTATATATGGCAACGCTGCTTGTCACTTCCAACATAGTTCACCCATTTTTGGGTAGGTTCCAAGGGGTAAGTCACTCAGCACATTGTGCCGAAATTAGATTAGGCACTGCTTGGGTACTTCCATCGGCTCACCTTCGGCACACATTTGGCACAATCTCTTAGGAATTGGATTGTTGTAAATAAAATGAGAGCACTGCTCGACAACTGTCATTGAAGTTGTTCACAACATTACATACTGTTTAACTGTATATTCAGAAACATCTTCTAATTGAATACACCAGAAGAACTCAGACCAGCAGTTCACTTATAGATCTAAATACGAAATGTAGGTTCTAGAGTGGGCTCTAGAGAAAGAGGCAGTTAATCAGACCCCATTAGTACGCTTCAAGTTTGCCTAAACTCCTCGAGCTCAGATTATGCCGTATAGATGCTCATTCATCGTGAGCTAGTTCATCCCTCACATATAAAGAGCAATGATGTCAAATCCAAAGAGCGCAAAAGAGCTCGAGCTCAGATTGATGCTCAAGCTGGTTCACGATGAGTGATGTGGGGTGAGGTATGATTTATGTCGGATCTGCTCACCAAACAACATTTTGAACTTCGGGATGGACTCGGTGAAACGGTGACCTTTGTTATGCATTCGGAGAGAGCACGCACGGCCTTTGATTGATGCACGGTTCTTCTATTCAATATAATGACACCCAACAATACATTCAATAGACTATAGGACCATTCCCAGAAAACGTAACATTTTGAGAGACCGATGTTTTTTTTTTAACTTGGGGACCACTTTTTGGGTGATGATAGTGGTTTACCACCCATTGTAGCACGGAAACTAAGTCCGACAGCAGTGGGCTCTCTTCTCTGTTTGTCTTGATCAAGCTTAAGCTGATACTCTAAGGAAGCCTTAGCGTGAAACTTTAAAGGCACAAATGTCAGCTCCCACAAAACATACAAATTTGAAATTGCTACTCCTTGTTTGCTGTGCTACTAATCAAACGCATTATTTTATTCTGCAAGCGCTGTAATCTCGATATTTGTGTTGCATTGGACAGAAATAAAATGGATGGGCAAAAGTATAGATGAGGAGAGATGATTGATTTGTATAGCTGTATTTTACTGGCAATAGTTAAATCGTTTTTCAATCGACATAGAATTCCATACTTCTTGGCAATTTTCTTGATGACATTGTCAATGTGAGAGTTGAACTTAAGTTTGTCATCAATAATCACGCCAAGATATTTAATCTTCTGAACGCGATCAATAGTCTCATCATCAATTACAACAGAGACGTTCTCATTTAATCGATTCCGCGAAATTACCATAAATTTAGTTTTACTTGTATTCAATTTTAACTGCTTACACTTCAACCATCTACTTAGATACTGCAAATCTTCATTCAAGTGTGAGACGGCAACTTCTAAATCCTTAGCTGCAATGAATAACACAGTATCATCTGCAAAAAGGTTAATGTCGCAAAACCGTAAAACACGTCGCAAGTCATTAATATACATAATAAATAAAAGGGGCCCTAATACACTTCCCTGGGGCACTCCAAGGTTGTTCCCCATGGGACTGGAAACAGAATCATTAAAAACAGTCCGTAGAGTTCTGTCAGACAAATAGCTTTCAAACCATTTATATGCAGTACTCGTAATTCCAAAGCGCTTGATTGATCTTAACAATAAGGGCATAGAAATTGTTTCAAAAGCGCGTTTAAGATCCAAAAAAAAAACAGCAACAATCGTATCTTTACACTCAAGTTATTTTTCCACTTTGCTAACACCAAATTCAATGCAGTTTCACAAGAATGACCTTCCCGATATCCCGATTGTTCTGGTATCAACAAAGAGTTGCTATTCAAATACTCCAACAGCCGGCCTTTAACAACAAGTTCTAAAATTTTCTCTAACGTGTGCAACATGTTGATGGGACGAAACTCTTCGGCTTTTATCGTTCCAGCAACTTTTTGAATAGGAACCACTAAGGATTCCTTCCAAATTTGTGGCACATGTCCATTCTGCAATGATTTATTAACAAGGTCCAGAAAGATGTGGCCAATGACATGAAAGCAATCTTGAATAACTCTAGCATTAACATTATCTACTCCAGCCGATTTTCCTAATGAAAAACAAATAACTCTAAGTTCATCTAATGTCATTGGGTGAAAAATTTCAAATCTACAACTACTATACATACGATTTCAGCAATGACCAAGTCGATCGACCAGATTTCTACGGAAATGTAATCAATCAGAAAGTGTTCCAAGGATATTCAAGAATAATTTCTGCAAGATATCTGATGATTTGAGGCATTTCTCATGATAGAGTTTTCCAAGCAGCACCGTGCGTCTCCATAATTATTCATGAAATTATCGGTTTTGTTCAAAATTAGTATATTTTTAAGGGATGCAAATTAAAAAAATCTGTTTTTGGTCCTCAAATTGGCTAGAATGCACTTAAATATGTTTTTTTTATATGAAATGGGGCTGAAATTTTTCGAGGAATCCAATTCTGTGCCCAGAATTTATATAAAAACCGATTTAAAACGTTTAGTATAACCATTTTAGTGAAAATAAGAGGTACGTTAAAAATGAATTACAGATTCGTAAAGTACGCATTTGGTAACTCACATTTCCGTAGAAATCTGCTCGATCGACTTGGTCATTGCTGAAATCCTTTGTCTATCCAGCGGGACACGGGTTTTCCGGGAAGCTTTGAGGTACGTTCAAAGTCCTTGAAGGTACGCTATGGTACGCTATTGGTACATTCCAAAACACGTATCAACTTTGAAATTCGTTAAGTTTGTCCCGCTTGATAGATTGACGTCAAGACCCCAGCTTGAGCATCAAGTATATATAGCTCCGTGAGAGCCAAATATATCATTCATCAAAATATGCTAGAGCTGAGCTTATTGATGGCTCTTGATGGAGCTTTTGGCAAGCCTGGTACTTTTAAATTCAAATAATGCTGCAACTCGCACAAAACAAACAACAGAAGTCTATTCATCATCCTCCACTGACCAAAAAGATGACCCAACATTGGTGTGCGGAGTGTCCTACCCCTTGGTAGGTTCAGTTTTGACCGATATGAGTGGATTCTACCCAAATTTGGGTTGTTTTGAAATAGCGTGCAATATCATGTTCAGGGGTGTATCAGAGATAGCGGAGCAGAGAACGACGTTAAATAAAGGAATAAAGAAGAAGAAGAATATCAGACGATAGATGACAAGAGTAACTAAATGTGGCCTTCTGAATGTTTGGCTTCCGTTTGGCAGTTCACATTGAATCCTAGTTGACAAGCATATATTGATTAAATCCCCAATACCCAGTTATTGACGATAAGCTTTAAAATATTTATCATGCTTGCGGAGGTTGGCTTTTACATCACATATCACAAACACAAATTTAGATTAAACATATCTGAACTCAATCGTCATCGTAGATAGTCCTTCAATTCCTTGATGTCATTTTCCGACGTTACAAAATCCAATCCGTTGTTTGTTTCTATTCCACCAGCAGAAGAGATAACAATCTCATGTCTCGTATCGCTGATGGGTGCAGCACGTCCAGAGGCTACACGGGACGACGATAACGTTTATTTTCGTAGTTGTTATCTATGTTCGATCATGGGCACCCGGCACTCCGGCAGCTCCTTTTCACTCTACACACACAACATACATGTATGCATGCGCTGTGATGACGTATCGGACGATACGACACACTGCCGGTGTCATGTGATTTGAGCACGTGCCCTGATGATGATAGTGATATTTTGTTTTCACAAGGTTCGGTCCCTGCAGGATTGCAGTCAGCTCCAGTCGGTGCAGTAGATGTGGATATGTACATAAGTTTCAAGTCGACCATTATGAACATTCAATGCCTATATGTCGTTGTATTTTGATTCGTTAGCTTGATGTTGACAATGGAAAATTCAGATCAATGTTTTTACTTGATTTCATTTGACTTTTTAAGCAGCTAACATTTACATTATTGTCCTTCTTCTTCTTTGGCTTTTCTACGTCCTCATTGGGACTCTACGCCGGCTCTAACCACCTTAGTGTTCTTTGAGCACTTCCACAGTTGTTAATTGAGAGCTTTCTGAGCCTGTACAATTTTTGCAATAATATAACCAGCCACCTCCAGATTGATCTTGCTTTATACCTCGCCATCTACGATTTGGCGATTAGTGTGCGCCGATTAAACGTCAAAAAGCTCTATATTCATGCGTTGGTTCAAGCTTGAACCCTGGGCAGAGTTGTCAGGCTTGGTGTAATTATTAGAGTTGAGAATTATTCATAATCATAGTAGTTAAGTTTTGCATCAAATCTGACAGTTCGATTTTTTCCCTCTTTTTTTTTTACAGATTTACTTCCCAGAAGAATTGCATTCGATCGTGATGGATGTTACTTAAGATCCCCTAAGTGAATCTGTTACAGCTCAATTATTGTGCGGGCATTAAGTGTAAAATACGAACATAAATCATAGCCATCACTGCGTAACGGTAACCAAATTGCAAAGCAGAATGGGTGTCAACTCCTCGTCGCGGCAGGATGTGAGTCTGCTCTCGGATGAAGACGGTGAGTCCTTTGCATTTCTAATTCATTGAAAACATAGCCCCTATCGCGATGTACTTCTACTAGGTCGAAGTGAGGTATCTGAGGTATCAGATTAATTGAATCCACTTCCAGTCGCTTGGGTTTCCATTTATCATCCGCTCGCTCGATTCATTGGCTTGGGACGCAAAACCCAGTCCGTGCTGGCCGTTGTTTGAGGGAAGTTGAAATGGTAACGATGCTGATGGGACCGCGTGGCAAGCGTGTTGCCAAGATTCGCACTCCGATATCGTCGCTTGTGGTGCTGGTGTATGTATGTATTGTTGACACTGGTAGTTTCAATGGCTGGTGGGGAAATTAGATCTTCGTTGTCATCGTCAGTAGATTGTTCCAATGGTAACGAGGGTGCGTGTAGTATAACTTTGTTTGTGATGACGCTGCCGCTCGAAACAATGGATAGTAGTGTTTGACGGCGCGTGGCGTGTGGAGTTGGTTGTTTGTTGATGGTTCATTTGCTAGAGATTATTGATAAGACACAAATAACTGCTCGGTATCGAATATTATGATATTTTGGTTTTGGATTTTCAATTTGAAATGTTGAACGGTTCTATTCAATTCCGGACTACGTTCAATCTTTAACAGTTCATTTTTAGTTTAGTTTTAACAGGTTCTCAAAGGTATAATCAATTCTCCAAATTGTCCAGGAAAATTGATTTTAAAGTTTGTTTAGGTGGAGAACTCTCAGTTTTGCGTCCATCGGCTCTTTCACTTTTACGATTCCCTCATCACATTCCATAAGGCTAGTCTTAATGAGGAAGATATATCATAACAAATTCTCACTATTACACCTGTTTACTCTGACATAAAGCAATCCTAGGATCCTAGGTGCATTTAGAAAAAAATCTTTAACGATATCGACGAGATGTCTTCAAAATTTTCGGGCGAAGGAAGGCGTCCATGTTCAATATTTCAGATATACAAAACATATTTATAAAACAGAGATCACCTTTTCGTGGTACGTTACAGGATGTAAGATCTACCACCGATTCCTAGTACTGACTGCTTCATATGTACTAGGTGGACAGGATTTTTTCAGTATTCAAAGGAACACATCTTAGTCTTTGTTACTTTTTATGCCTTGTGTGACTGTGTGGTTAAGACTAGGGCATGGTCATTATCGGTGTAATTCCTTATTTTTGTTGCTAAGGAATACAATTTTGATTGATACAGGGGCGCGCCATTTGAGGATGTTTTCATTCTTGGAAGGGTATAAATAGCGAGACCTTTTAATTAGTGTCGGATCCTTGCGATAAATGCAAGAATGACAATTGTAAAAAAATGAATACTTCATCATTGCTCAATAGTGATGGAGTAATACGACATGCACATAACTAAGGAAACGGGATACACTACAATAGATCGAGTTACTGGTCGAAATGGTGTTATGTTCTGAACAGAAAAAAACAGAGTCTTTCCAGAAGTTCAGGGACCTTCTTAGAATTCAAGAGCAATTCGTAACAGTTAAGAGAACATAATTTTATTTATAAGAACTTCGCAGAAGTTCGGAAAATTTCTTCAAAGTGAAAGGAGCGTTGTAGAATGAACTTTATGGATCTCCAAGAAACATCGCAGAACTTTTGAAAACTTCATAGGCATTACTTGAACTTTGCAAAAACTCAGAAAACTTTCTAGAAGTGCAACACATTTTATAGAAATTCAGATAACTTTGTAAAAGCTCAGAAAACTTTGTTAAAACTCAGTTAACTTCATAGAACTTCAGCGAATGTTGTAGAACTACGGCAAGTTTTGTTTAAGTTCAGAGAACATTGTTGAACATAAGTGAACTTAAGAGAAAGTTTGCGAATTTCGTAGAAATTCGGGAAATTTCGTTGACTTTCAGGGTTATTTCATTAACTACCATAGATTTTTTAAATTTTAAATATTCAGAAGACATCAAAGAAATTCAAGAAATTTAATATAAACTCAGGGTACTTCGTAGAGCTACAGATAGTTTTGAAGAAATATTGGGTGCTTTGTGGAAAAATCTGGAAAACTATGTAGGACTGGGAGTCCAAGAAAACTTCGTTGGAATTACAAAAACTTTGGTTTTTTTCAAGAAACTTAATGAAAGTTCTTCTTTTAGCTTAAGGGCACTTCTTAAAACAGAAAATAACTTCGTAAGATTCCTTAACTTCTTAAGACTTTCAATTATAAAAAATGGAACTTAGTAGGAGTGCAGCAAACTTCATAGGACTTATGAGAACTTTGTGGAAGCCTTGTGAATTACGATGCAATTCGAGGTACTTCGTACAACCAACCAGTGGAAACTAACGATTTCAAATTGGCTCACTACTTGACTAGCCTATTGGTCCCAAGCAAATCGATTAACGTACCCCATTCTAGTCGAAATTCTAGAACTGCACTATGTTTGCTTTGATTTGCTTTGAAAGTTTGACAGAAAAAATGAGGGGTTCGTGGATTTTCCTATGTTTCGAAGGGTGCATCGATTAGCTTGGGACCGAAGAGAGTACCAGAGCTGAGCCAAAAATTTGAGCACGTTTCTTCAGGACCTTCTAGTCTTAGAGTTACCTCTATGGTAAAACTTCATTGAAGTTCTGGGATTATTTTAAATTCATTTAACTTCAAAAATTGTAGAACCTCAGAGAATTTCTAAGAAATTCAGGATTTGTCTCAGAAGCTCAGGAAGTAAAAAATTCAGCATAATTCTTAGAACTTCAGGATTTGATTTGGAAGCACTGGGAATTTCAAGGAAAAAGTTCGAGTTCTTACCTGATGTTTGCAGAAAGTCATGGATTATCTGATATCTGGCTTTCTCCTCACAGTTTTTGGCTTTGCCTTTTCCGGCAGGTTCCGGACACTCCGCTTCGGACAGGAATTCATTCGGTGCCTCTCCATTCTGTACAAGAAACACATGTTCTTGGTCCCGTCACAGAAAATGGTTCCCTTTCCGATTGAGAAAATGAAACGTTGATGGAATTTCCTTCTCCACGTTCATATAAATACCTCGCACACCTGTGCGCAAGTCAAGGAAACTTCTCCAGAATGACGAGCTTAACCCTTCCATATTTCCCCAGCACCAACGATAGATCCCGATTCGGGACCTCGGGTGGAAGATCGTTAGCCCGAACGTTTTGAACATGAGTACCTCAATTGCTCCGGGTTATACAGCAATCTATACAGCATTGATCAATTCGTTTTGAACTTAATGAAAACCACCTTCTCCTCTTCAATCTGATATGTTGCTTCCATCTCAGCGGGATTGACATCCAGTGCCTTCACAAAACCGCCAATATAGGGCTTCGCTCTTGCTGTTAGGAAGGGTAATCCAATGGTGTTCTTCACTATTTGGGAAATTTTCAATTTGTTTATTCAATTTGCAAGGGCTCATTTTGCAAAACGTCGATTGGTCAATTTTCGATTGGTCAATTTTCGATTGGTTAATTTTCAATTGGTCAATTTTCAATTGGTCAATTTTCAATTGTTCAATTTTCAATTGGTCAATTTTCAATTGGTCAAAACATTCTTCAGTGATTGGTCAATTTTCAATTGGTCAATTTTCAATTGGTCAATTTTCAATTGGTCAATTTTCAATTGGTAAATTTTCAATTGGTCAATTTTCAATTGATGAATTTACAAATGGTCAATTCGCGATTGGTCAATTTTGCGTACGTCAATTTGCAATTGGTCTATTGGTATTTGGTTAATTTACATTTCGTAAATTTTCATTTGTTCAATTTACAATTGGTTATTTGCAAATGATCAATTTACTATTGGTCAATTTGTAATTGGTCAATTTTTAATTGTACCATTTGCAATTTTTCAATTGGTATTTGTTCAATTGAAAACTGTTCAATTTTTAATTGTTTGGTCAATTTGCAGTTATTTGATTTACATTTGATTAATTTTGAATTAGTAATTTGCAATTGGTCAATTTGCAATTGGTCAATTTGCAATTGGTCAATTTGTATTTGGTCAATTTGCAATTGGTCAATTTGCAATTGGTCAATTTGCAATTGGTCAATTTGCAATTGGTCAATTTGCAATTGATCAATTTGCAATTGGTCAATTTGCAATTGGTCAATTTGCAATTGGTCAATTTGCAATTGGTCAATTTGCAATTGGTCAATTTGCAATTGGTCAATTTGCAATTGGTCAATTTGCAATTGGTCAATTTGCAATTGGTCAATTTGCAATTGGTCAATTTGCAATTGTTAATTTTGCCTCTGATCAATTTACAATTTGTCAATTTTGAATTGGTCAAATTGTTATAAGTCATTTCGGAATTTGTCAATTTGAAATTTGTCATTTTGAAATTGGTCAATTTGAAATTAGTCAATTCGAAATTGGTTTATTTGAAATTGGTCAATTTGAAATTGGTCAATTTGAAAATGGTCAATTTGCAATTGGTCAATTTGCAATTGGTCAATTTGCAATTGGCTTTTTTGCAATTGGACAATTTTCAAATAATTAATTTGCAATTGGTTAATTTGCAATTGGTCAATTTACAATTGGTGGATTTAAAATTGGTCAATTTGTAATTGGTAACATTGTACCTGGTCAATTTGCAAATTTGTCTCATTGCAATTGGTCCTTTTACAATTGGTCAATTGGCAATTGTTCAATTTACAATAGGTCAATTTGAAATTGGTCGATTTTTAATTGGAAAATTTAAAATTCGTCAATTGGTAATTGGTCAATTTTCCTTTCGTCAATTTACTTTTTGTTAATTTGCCTTTGATCAATTTGTAGTTGGTCAATTTACAATTTGTCAATTTACAAGTGGTGGATTTAAAATTGGTCAATTTACAATTGGACGATTTGTAACTGGTTACTTTGTAACTGATCAATTTGCAATTTGTTCTCATTGCCATTGGTAATTTTGCAATTGTTGATTTTGAAATTGGGCAATTTGCCTTTGGTCAACTTGCAATTGATCAATTTGCCTTTGGTCAATTTTGTAATTGGTCAATGTGCCGTACTTTAATTTGAAGTTGATCAATTTG